CGTAGCCCCAAATTTGGCAGCCATTTTATGGTTTTATTGCAATAAATAGCAGTTAAATATTCTGTTATATTTTCAGCTCTTTTTGTTTATGTATTTATTCTTGAATTTAAGCCATTTGTTTACCTCTTTGTATGTATTAATTAAAGCCAAATTTTATACACTAATAATTTTGTTTTCTCTGCATCTTTATATGCCCGATGAAATATTAATTATATCATTTAAAGTTGATTTCATGTGTGTGACACGTTTAACCTTCAGCAAACAAGCTTTTTATTATATATCACTCAATGCCAGATGCAAGCGTAATTTAACGAGCACGCACGTTTTATTTGCAATTTTTTTTTTTTTTTTAATTTATTTTGTTTTTATTTTTATTTAATTTATTCTTTTATATTGCTTCACTTTCACAAATTCGCTTCAAGGTTGCGTTGGGCTCAACCTTCGCCTTAAATTTAGCGTGAGATACTCGTAAAGTTTCACTTTCGATTGCTCGCAGCATTTGCCGCGTGTCACGGGATCCGTTTCGTTTTTTCTTCAATGTATTTGCGATGTTTTTCACTATTTATTTGGTTAGCCTTTTGTAATTTGGATTTTGCGACACGTGCAGCCGCAACGGCTGTTTACTCGCCTTTAAAGTTCATCGAAAACTAATTTCGTTTCGATTTAAAAAAAACCTCAATGGAATTTTGCTTTACGTTTTCGCTTTCCTTTAGCGCCTACTCTTCGGCTCTTGTTGTTATTGCTTTCATTGTTGTTGTTGCTCCTCGTGCTGGTAGCCTACACACATATTTCCAATAACAATGTTACAAATTCGCCATGTTGTTGTTGCCGTAGCAGCACTTTCCCATGGCACTTCCAATGCACAACTAAAAATAAAGTTACGCGTGGCCAGAGCGACTGCGACGCCAACTGTGACAGAGACGTTGACTGCGATAACATTGACAGCTGCTGCTACTACTGCCGCATGGTCGGGTCAGTCAGGCACGATGCTCTGCTACTGCTACTGCGCTGCTGCTGCTGCTGCTATTGCTACTGCTACTGCTATTGCTACTGCTACTGCGACTGCTACTGTTGTTGGGGTATTGTGTTGTATTTGTGTTTGTGTTTGTGTTTCTGTTTTTGTGCTCTCTTTCCATCTCGATGGCGAATGGTAAAATCAGCGTGTTTGTCTTTGCTTTCCAGTGCTACCTAGCCTCACCCCCGCTAAGCCCCTGCCTAACAAGCTAAGGTACGCGTGTTGGACAGTTGACTAACTGTTCGGTCTAACTGGATTGGAAGTGCATTAGTTCTCGCGTGTTGTTGTTGCCATTGCCATTGTAGGCGAATTCGTAGTAAAGAGCATGACGCTGCATGAAACGAAATGCGGTGAATGAAATGACGTCGCTGCAATAAAGCGTGTAGCGGATTGAAGGATTGAAGTAAAGAGCATCGTGGTGACAGTGTGACGCAAAAGGAGAGGGAGCGAGACCGAAAGGTAGAGTGAGTGTGGGACTATGTGATCTATGCGTGGGCATACAATGCATAGCGTCATTGAGGTTACAGTTAATAATGCAATGCACAGTGGACAAGAGTGAAAATTCGATAGCTAAATTAATGAATATTATAAATTCTTTAAATACTTTTAATGTCGAGGGTCTATGTAGAAAATAAAAATGAGTATTGGAAAGACTTTTAAAGACTTTTTGATATAAATTAAATATTTATAGATAAAAAATTGTAAATTCGAAAACGCTAATAATTAGTAATTTTATATTATATTTAAGCTTATCCAGCAAAGGCACTAAATAGTCAAGTCATGGAACTAGTTCATTTATTTTATGCAAAACATAGTTATTCATATTCTGATCCTATGATCTGACGTCCTACGGTAACTCATGGAGGCAATATTTTTGTAAGCTTTAATCAAATAAATTTAAGATTGCGCGCGCACTTCGCTACATCATCAGCTGCTACTTCTGCTGCTTAAGCACTGGAAAGCCCAGCGAGCGGAAGGAGCGGGCATAACGGCACTTCTCAATGCAGCGCATGCGCCTGCCGTTCCGTTGCTGTTTCAGTGAGAGCTTTCCCATTTGTCGCTGGAAGCATTCCAACGCATGACGTCTGGCCATGGCTTGCGTGCGTTTCTATTGTGAACGTGGTGAGAGCTGCCACTTGCTGTGGTGGCTTTCGCCTGGCGCGTGGCTCTGTGTGGTGAGAAGGCAGTGCAGCTGCACTGGGTGCAAAGCAGAACAGCTGCAACAAGCTGAAACCGAGGAGGCGCTCCCATAGGTGGCTGGGGCACAGGGGCGGCTTCCCTATCAGTTGTTAAGGCAGCGCTGCACTTGCCACAGTTTTGGGTCGCTTATCGGAATTGTGGGGCGGACCCGAAAATTGTGCACCTAATTCCATTCCACGGCGGCTTGCAACCAAACTTCTACCTTAATTTTTTTTTTTTTTTTTTGTGGGCAAAGTCGAAATCAATAGTTATTTTATTCTAGTCGGCGGGGCGTGGCAAGTACAAGAATCTTGCCACGAAATGTTGCATGCTAATGTGCAGCAGGAATCAGCCGTTGCCATTAGTATTTTCTTACACACAAAAATAAGTCGAAATTTTCATTGGGAACATGCTGCATCTGGCAAGTGGCAAGAGGCAAGACGCAAGTGGCCGGAGGCAGGCGGCAGCAAAAAACTTTCTAATTAGGCTAATAAATTTGCAACGAGCAACGCACTTGACAAAGTCGGCGGCGATATCGCTCAGCCAAACACGAGGCAGGCAGCAGTTGCCACTTGCCACTTGCCACTTGCCCCTTGCCACTTGTCACACTCGCACCGCCTCCTGCCCGCCAAACTAGCCAGCAAACTTTTCGGATATCTTGTGGCGCTGGCAAAATGTGTTTTCGGGTCAGCTGTGGCACTGCCGCACCACCCGCCTGCGGCCTCCTGCCAACTTTAAACTGTCGCGCTGCTGCATATAATTTATGTTGATTGCATTTAACGGTGCAAAAAGGGAAAATGCCTTGCCTAAAAGTATGCAACGCGGTTCTTTTGCCAGCTTGCTAGCTTGCTAACTTGCCACTTGCCACTTGCCGCTTGCCACTTGCCACATGCAGCATGCTCTGCCCCTGGTCAACAATTTATTTTTATTTTATTTCGTTTATGTTGCCACTACAGCTACGACTGCGGCCGACCATCAAGTGCCACCAATATTTGTGTTGCATCTATTTGTGCAACGCATTTCCCTTTGTGCGGCATTTGAAAAAGTTTTCCCTTCCCAATCGGTTTCCCTTTAAGACTTAAGAGTGCAGCTTAAAGACTAACTTACTTTTACAGCTGACTAGTATATAAAGCTTATCTCAAACTTATATGTTGGCTAACTAATGGTATATTAAATATATAGAAGATGCACATAAAGAAAGACATTGGGAAACTGTGTGAGCAAAATTGATGGAAATGTTGGAAATTGTAGCTTAGAAACTTCATTAATGATAAAGGCAAAAGTTCTAAACGAAAAGACAACGCACCAATGAAAGACAGAGATTACATATATACATACATATATGTGTATACATACATATATACCCATATACCGGTATATATATAATATTTATATGTATAAATATA